CGACAGCTGCAGTTGATCTAGAAACTGATGATCTAATTCAGAAAACCATACGTAAAGAGTTTGCTGGTTGTACTGTACTGACTATAGCTCACAGACTAAACACTATCATGGACTATGACAAGTAAGGAATGAGAACTGGTAATTTAATGTTATAATTATTATTTGTAGGATAATGGTATTAGATGATGGGCATATTGCTGAGTTTGATTCTCCTAATAAACTTATTGCACAAGAAGGAAAATTTTATAGTTTAGTTAAAGATGCTAAATTATTACCATAAGGCCTGGTAGGCTGGACCTGGCTGGTACAAAAATAATAATAATGTGTATGATTCTTATTATAAAGTTATTGATTGTCTCTGATTTTGTCTAATCAGCGCATGCGCACTAGCACTTAGCCACGCGCCAGTCAGGCAGTCACTTACAGGTGTCAACTCAAGTTTACAAAGATAAAGATGGCAGGACCTGAACATGGACCACTAGCACTAGGAAAGCATTACCATCTTAGAAATGGCCCAAGCTATACCACAATATCTAGCTGGCTCCAAAATAAATGTGGAGCTCAAGAGCCCCAGGCAGAATGTGTAGCGAGTAGTGTAATCGAAACTAACGTCATCAGTGGAGTCATCAGCAAAAAGAAGCTCGTCCACTATCCTCTTTTGTGGAAAAACCGTTATCACTTTTCGAGAAGAATTGCTATAGTTGCACGATACTGCATTCTTAGAGCTGTTGGAAACCTGGAACCACTCATGAATCCTAATCAAAGAGCAAATTTCGCTAATCTCAACAATCCTCCAACTTTAAGGGAAAATACACCTAATCAGAGAATCAATGACGATTTTCACCTTGCTAACAGTTCATTGGAAATATATTGGCTTGTGGCTCACATTGATATGCTGTTACCACATTTTCATATTGAAAATATAATGAATTTGCACAATGACAATGTTCGGTTTAGTCTCACAGCTGAAATGATAATTATTGATTATCATTCTCATGAAGCATGGCAAGTAATCTGTACTCCTAGTATAACTAAGCAAGGTGAACACTACGTTGGTGGAGTTCGTTACCGTCAATATACATCTGATGTTCAAGTGACGTTTAATCGGTTTCGTTTTAACAATTTTGAGGGTTACCCATTTGCCATTCCTCCTGCAAATGATTTACCAAGAAGGGAAGAGGAGGATGAGGAAGATGAAGAAGAGGACGAGGAAGATGAAGAGGAGGACGAGGAAGATGAAGAGGAGGACGAGGAAGATGAAGAGGGGGACAAAGAAGAAGATAAAGATTTAGTAGAAAGAGTACAGAATCTACATACTTGATTGATTTATTGTTTTGTTTAAATTAACCAAACCATGCCTATAGTGCAATACCGTATAGCTTGAAATTTTCGTGGAATGTAAATTTCGTGATTTTCGTGGTTATGGGCTGCCCACGAAATTTAAACCCACGGAATCATTGAAGTGCCATCCCCTTACAGGCTATGTAAACTGTCAACCACGAAAATTAAACCACGAATTGCCCCACAAGGAGCAAACCACGAAAATATCGACCCACGAAAATATCAAGCTATATGGTAATTCAGTTGCCACAGAATTGTCATTGGATTTCAGTAGCATAATACACTATTGGCTCCAATGACCCTTTTTATAAATCATGATTGCAAAACAAGTGTATATATTTGTACAAGTAACTGGCATTTAATGATTCTGATTGAAGTTCTGAAAAGCAATACTCTTTATCATGCAAAAAAATAAAAGAATGCAAATAATAAACCACTACATGTACATTTATATCTATAAGCAAACTATAAAAAACATGCATAAGTCATGAGTTTTTTAAAATTCTTTAAAAAATAGACCAAAAGTTAGGCAAGACCAGCATCTTTAGCCATCCCATAGAACAGGCCACGACGCTCCAGCAATACATTAGGACTATCAAACTCTGAAATACAACCAGCATCAAGTACCATTATCCTATTGAATGAAAATAATAATAATAATAATACTAATAACTAAATTCCTTACTTGTCATAGTCCATGATAGTGTTTAGTCTGTGAGCTATAGTCAGTACAGTACAACCAGCAAACTCTTTACGTATGGTTTTCTGAATTAGATCATCAGTTTCTAGATCAACTGCAGCTGTCGCCTCATCAAGTACTAATATCTTTGTCTTACGAAGTAAAGCACGAGCAAGACACACTAACTGACGCTGACCAACACTAAATAAAGACACTCAATGATCATACTCTCTCTCTCTCTCTTACCTCAGATTCTCTCCTCCTTCAGCTACAGGGTACTCCAATCCTTCTGCTAGTCCTCCTACAAACTCACTAAGATGAGCAGTTTCTAATGCTCTCCATACATCATCATCAGTGTGACTATTAAAAGGATCAAGATTGA